GCTGCGCGGCGCTGCCCCTTTGAACGCCACTTCAGCATTTCAAAGGGGCAGCGCCATAGAGCCTGGGGCCAGCTGAGGACTCCCCAGCTGATCCCAGCTCCACGTGGCATTTCCCCAGAATCCAGGATCAGCTGGGGAGTCCCCTGCTGACCCTGGGCTCCATGACTTTGAAATGCACAAGAGCCTCCACTGGGGACTCTTGAACATTTCAAAGCAGGCACCCATGTGCAGCCTGGAGTCAGCAGGACTTCCCGCTGGCCCCGGGCGGCAGGCGGTGTTCCGCATTCCTCCCCAGCAAGGGCTCTTGTCCATTTCAAAAGAGGAATGCGGAAGTGCCTATCGACTAGTCGATGGAAATTTCATCGACTACTCAACTAGTCAATTAACTGCAATTTAACATCCTTAATACGGACCCCTCCCCATTGGCTTCAGTGGCCCTTTTGTGGTTTCCATGTTCAGAGTTTGCTATCAGTTCTAACGTTCATACCTGGGTGCTAATCCCAAAGACCATGCCCTACGACCATTATTGCCCTTGTCCTTTCTTACTCCCCCCCCTTGGCATCTCTATCCACCCTCCTGAGCCGAGGAAAGGTAGGAGAAGTGGCTTTATCTGGAGACTCACATCTGTCATTAAGGTTGTCTGTGTGTTTCCATTAACCTCTGTTTTCAGTTCTTGATTTTTTATTTTTTTTTAATTCTGACCTATCAGGATGAAATTTTTCAGACCTGTTCTCTGGCCAGGCATGGATTGTTTTGGGAAATGCAAGCATTTTCCCATTACAATGTATTTTTGTCCCCATTTTTGGAACAGCTGCATGATTGGAAGTCTATCAGGCTATGATCTGTGGCCAGTCTGATTGCAGACTCAAAAAATACCCAAGTTTTGCAGATTGAGGGTACAATTTATCTCTGTGCAGAAGACCAGCACAAGGTGTGTCCAGCTCTTGAATCCTACATAACTTTTCACAATGGAGGTTGAATGGGACTTAAGTGGTTAATAGGCCTCATGCTGACGGTGTGTGCTAGGGGTGGATTTCAGCATGAGGGAACCCAGATACTGTAGGAATGCATAGGCTACGTGCATTCTCCCAAGGGAGCAGAGTTAAGGTTTTTACACTATACCAATCACCCTGGAATCTAAGCGCTTGCTCTGTGTAACATTAGTACTGTCCTCTTCTGCATTATCAGCTGGACATGATCACAATTTTTTTCTTCGGGACCTTATATAATTTGTGGCATAGGTTGGATGGTTCACAGGCAATAAAGCAGCTGTTCAATATTTATGTTTATCATCCTTGCTTAATGAGCGGACTCCTCCCTCAATCAGTGCAAGTGCTCTATCGATCCAAGTTATGGAGAGTCTATGTTCATTGTAAAAGTGACCCCTTCCTGTGTGAACTCCAAATTGCTCTAGTCTGGACACACCGCATCAATGACTTCTGTTTCAGAAGGATAACTCGGCCGTGTTTGGTTCATTGGAGTGGACTTTCGGAGGACTACAGACTTGACAGCATGTTCTCCCTTTTCCAGGAGAGCACGTGGAAGGTGAAGCAGATAAAGAAGGTGTGTCTAGAAGTGCCATTTCATTATCTGAGGTTGGAACAGAAGAATTCCTCCAGAAACTTACTTCCCACATCACAGAAATGGTGTCTGCAAAAATAAGTCAGGGTAAGCACTTGGCAAGTGTCACACCAAGTAGAATAGCCAATCTTCAGGTTTGGGTTGCATTTTAAGTCTCAATGAGATCTATGAAATAATTATTTTGCACATAATAATATAAATTATTGTTATTAATAATAATGCAAATAATACAAATAAGAGATTCATTAGCGAGATATTAACTGTAGTGTAGGAGCATAAGCTTTCGTGGGCAAAGACCCACTTCATCAGATGCATGCATCTGATGAAGTGGGTCTTTGCCCACGAAAGCTTATGCTCCTACACTACAGTTAGTCTATAAGGATGTGTCTAGACTACAGGGTTTTGTCAACAGAAGTTTTGTCGACAGATACTGTCGACAAAGCTTCTGTCGACAAAGAGCGTCTAGACTACATCCAGTTCTGTCAACAAATCAAGCCGCTTTGTCGACATAACAATGTGGACGCAAAGGACAGTGTAGATGCAATAATGCCTTCTATCGACAGAACTCTGTCGATAAAAGGCATTATTCCTCGTAGAATGAGGTTTACATACGTCAACAAAACTGCTAAGTTTTGTCGATGTTATGTCGACATAACTCAAAGGCAGTGTGGACGCAGGTATAGTTTTGTCGACAAAAGTCCACTTTTGTCAACAAAACCGTGTAGTCTAGACACACCCTAAGGTGCCACAGGACTCCTCGCCACTTTTGCAGATTCAGACTAACACAGCTACCCCTCTGATAATTAGCGAGATTTAAATCCTTTGACTTTTCTTAATGCTATTTCTGGAACTTCTTTCCTGGAAAGTTAGTATCTAGACTTAACAAGGAACTTTTCCATATACGCACAAACTTTCAATTTTGTTTTAGTGAAAACACAAATTAAATATATTTTCACACGTTTCCAATGTTTTACCATGTTTTAAATTACTGAAGTAGCTGAATCATCTAGTGGATTAAGCATGAGTTTGAGGGACAAGGACTTCTGAGTGCTAATTTCTGCTCTGCCATAAATTGCTATATAGCTTTGGGCATATCAGTTATCCTCTCTGACTCAGTTTCTTTACCTGTAAAATGGGGTTAATAATATTTGCATATCTACTTCACCAGAGCATTAGGAGGATAAATGAATTAGCACTGTGAACACTAAATCCTATGGGTGTACTATCTCACATGTATTATTACCAAAGCTATTTACGGCTAATTCTCATCGGCACTAAAGCTGGGAGCATACACACGTCTCAGAATGGCAGTAGGTTATACTTACCTGCACTTTCATCCCCCCTGTATATGACTAGAGAGATGTAAAGTGGCCTTCATGTAAATGAGAATTAGGTCCATATGGAAACTTGAATCTTTCATAGTCCTGTTGCTCTTCCAATAGTGTTTGTACTGACAGTGAAGGATTGAGCTCACATCCTGCTGTTACCCTTCTGCTGTCCTATTGAAGTAAATTACATAAACTAAGGGACTTCACTTGCCCAAAAAGCATAGTATGATGTCACAATGATTAACCAGGGCTCGTATACTGAATGATGTGCAAGGTCTGTCCTGGGGATATTTGATCATGTGAAGATTAAGGATTGGAGCCCTGTTTGATTTTCACGAGAGCTGTTTCTCACCTCTGTCCCTGTTGCTCCACTGCTCTTCATTTCAGCCACACTTCGAGTGCCAGGAGCAGACAGCGATGACGAATCTAAGACGCCCTCGCCGTCTCCACGCCATGGCAGATCTAGGCCTTCATCAATTGCTCAGGAGTCTTCCTCTGAATCGGAGGATGGAGATTCACGAGGAGAGGTATAGTGCATGCTGCAATGAACCCCACACAGGTGCTTACCAGGAGAAAGGATGAATCCTTCTGAATAAGCAAGTCTAGTGCATTTTAAGGGTTTCTATCTTAAAATGGCTTCTGTGGTTTCAGGTGTATGGTCCAGTAAAAATTAAATACAGGAGTAAGAGTGTAAATCCACGTGTTCACACTCATTGCATGGTCTCCAACAGGTTGCTCAGGTCAACATTTTCAATAGAGTCCACTAATTTTGGAGCCTCCGGTGTTGGTTGTTGAACTCTGAGACACTCAGGGCTTAACTTTCTAAAGTGCGGAGCACTCTTGGCTCCAACTGAAGTCAATGAGCACTTCTGAAAATCAGGGCCTGGGTATCTCAAGGTAGGACATCTAAGAGAGTGGACATTTTTGGAAAAACACAGCTTTTGCTTTTAGGCCTCAACTGGAGTATTGTTGCCAGTTCTGGGCACCACATTTCAGGAAAGATGTAGAGAAATTGGAGAGGGTCCAGAGAAGAGCAACAAAAATTATTAAAGGTCTAGAGAACATGAGCTATGAGGGAAGATGGAAAGAACTGGGTTTGTTTAGTTTGGAAAAGAGAGGACTGAGAGGGGATGTGATAGCAGATTTCAAGTACCTAAAAGGGTATTACAAGGAGAGGGAGAAAAATTGTTCTCCTTGGCCTCTGATGATAGGACAAGTAGCAATGGGCTTAAATTGAAGCAAGGGAGGTTTAGGTTGGATATGAGGAAAAAATTCCTGTCGGGGTGGTAAAACACTGTAATAAATTGCCTAAGGAGGATGGGGAATCTCCATCACTGGAGATATTTAAGAGCAGGTTGGACAGACATCTATCAAGGATGATCTAGATGGTGCTTGGTCCTGCTGGGAGGGCAGGGGACTGAACTTGATGACCTCTTGAGGTCCCTTCAAGTTCTAGTGTTCTATGAATTTCAATTGTTACTTCCATCTGTAAAATGGAGATAACAATTCTCTTTTCGTCTGTGATTCAGAGATGGCGGAGACAAAATATTCAAAACTGGTAACGCATTTATCTGCTCTTGTTATTATCATAACCTGGTTTTAATGCACCTCTCCTTTCACGCTTGTAGATTTTTGACATCTACATGGTCACGGCTGACTATATGCCCATTGGAGCTGACAGGGAAATCATCACTCTGAAAGCAGGGCAGTATGTGGAAGTCCTTGACTCAGCTCATCCTCTAAAGTGGCTAGTCAGGACCAAGCCCACTAAATCCAGCCCATCCCGGCAGGGGTGGGTGTCTCCTGCATATTTGGACAAGAAGTTAAAGGTGATCCATCTTCCTTATGGTATTTTTTATACAAACTGTTTCCGTTGCACCTTAGAACTGTTCCCTGCTTGCTTTTGCTAGCTCTGGGTTTCCATGAGGGACAATTCTAATCTGAAAAGGAGTATGTAAAAATGGCCACCTCAGACTCAGCTCAGCTCCCAGTGCCTAGCTAGAGTCCTGTCCTCTGACTTCAGTGGCAACTGTGTGTGTGATTTTTACTGTTCTTAGTCCTGGAAACAATGCAGCTAAGAGGGAGCGAAGTGGAATCTATTCTGGCTTGCGTACCATTAACAGAATTATTTGTTAAAATCCAGTCATGTATGTGTGTGTGTGGCAGGGCGGACAAAGCCCTGAGCCCAGAAAGAGCCATAGATAAGTCCTCCAGGAGGCTAGAGAGGCTCTAGAGGAACTGGCCAATGAGAGGCCAGGGAAGCCTACAAAAGGAGCTGCAAAGCTCACCAGCAGTCAGTGTGGGGCTGAGCTCAAGGTGAGCAGACTGTGAGGCAGGCTAAGGAAGTTCCCTTCAGCAGATGTCACTCTCTCCAAGTGGGGAAGAGACTGAGGGGAACCAGAGAGACAGATGTAGAGACACCAGCAAAGGGCACCGGGATGGGCCCCTGTTAGGCATGTACCCCAGAAGGGGTTTGAGATATGCAGGATTGTGACTTGGCCTCTATATAAATCCATAGTATGACCACAGCTTGAATTCTGTGTACAGATGTGGTCGCCTCATCTCAAAAAAAGATATATTACCATTGGAAAAGGTTCAGAAAAGGGCAACAAAAATGATTGGGAGTTTGGAATGTGCTCCATATAAAGAGAGATTAAAAAGACTTGTACTTTTCAGTTTAGAAAAGAGAAGACTAAGGGTGGATATGATATCATTGTTTTCAATGGCTTATACCTTTAGCAAACTTTTGACATTTGAGCTAAAATTTGCATCCCAAATGTCTGCCCACCCAGATCCCTTTTTTTTTTCTAACTCTATACATACAATATGATGGGGACTAATTTGGCTACTACTACTCAAGAGAGAGATCTTGGAGTCATTGTGGATAGTTCTCTGAAAACATCCACTCAGTGTGTAGCGGCAGTCAAAAAAGCAAATAGAGTGTTAGGAGTCATTAAAAAAGGGATAGAGAATAAGACAGAAAATACCTTACTGCCTCTATATAAAACCATGGCACGCCCACATCTTGAATACTGTGTACTGATATGATTGCCTCATCTCAAAAAAGTTATATTGGCATTGGAAAAGGTTCAGAAAAGGGCAACACAAAATGATGAGGGGTTTGGAACAGGTCCCATATGAAGAAAGATTTCTTATATTGGTCCCCAACACCAGAGTTTCTGCTCCCATTATCCCTGTTGTCTTAAAGCACCATTCAGGGAAGTGTGAGAGAGCAGAGTTTCCAAGAGAACAGGATCTGTTCAGTTTTCTGTGGGAACTAAACCCGGGACCTTTAGCAACAAAAGTGCACACCCCAGCCACGTAAGCTCCTGAGGTATCTCCCTCAGCTCTGCATACCAGACTGCTATTCTTGATAAGTCCAGCTACCGAGCAGGGCTGTGATAGTGTAAGCAATTAACTGATGAGGCTGGGCTCATCGACTAACCTTCACAGTTACACACAACCCCTCTCCCCCCCACATTTACCCGAATACACGCAAAGGGGAGCGGTGACACATTTACCCGAATACACGCAGGGGGGAGCGGTGACGCGTTTACCCGAATACAGGCGGGGGGAGCGGTGACGCGTTTACCCGAATACACGCAGAGGGGAGCAGTGATGCGTTTACCTGAATACAGGCAGAAGGGAGCGGTGACGCGTTTACCTGAATACAGGCAAAGGGGAGCAGTGATGCATTTACCCGAATACACGCAAAGGGGAGTGGCGACATATTTACCTGAATACACGCAGGGGGGAGCGGTGACGCGTTTACCCGAATACAGGCGGGGGGAGCGGTGACGTGTTTACCCGAATACACGCAGAGGGGAGCAGTAACGCGTTTACCTGAATACAGGCAGAGGGGAGCGGTGACGCGTTTACCTGAATACAGGCAGAGGGTAGCGGTGACGCGTTTACCCGAATATAGGCAGAGGGGAGCGGTGACGCATTTACCCGAATACAGGCAGAGGGTAGCGGTGACGCATTTACCTGAATACATGCATTTTAACATCCCTACTCCTAATGTGTGGACAAGATGAACCCAGACTCTCAGGGTATGTCTACACTACCCTCCTAGTTCGAGCTAGGAGGGTAATGTAGGCATACCGCACTTGCAAATGAAGCACGGGATTTGAATTTCCCGGTCTTCATTTGCATAAGCCGGGCGCCGCCATTTTTAAATCCCAGCTTGTTCGAACCCCGTGCTGCGCGGCTACACGCGGCACGGACTATGTAGTTCGGACTAGGCTTCCTAGTCCGAACTACCTACCCTCCTAGTTCGAGCTAGGAGGGTAATGTAGGCATACCGCACTTGCAAATGAAGCACGGGATTTGAATTTCCCGGTCTTCATTTGCATAAGCCGGGCGCCGCCATTTTTAAATCCCAGCTTGTTCGAACCCCGTGCTGCGCGGCTACACGCGGCACGGACTATGTAGTTCGGACTAGGCTTCCTAGTCCGAACTACCGTTAATCCTCGTTTCCAGGCCCAATTTGTACACAGAAATTTTCTGTCCCTCGGCCTGAGCCATTGGACCTAGGCCAGTCATGGCCGCACTGCAGGACTTTTATCCCTGTGTAATTATATCTTAAATGAGATAACTAGCCCCACTTAGCTAGCAACATTTCTTCTTCAACCAGAGGTAGTTCGGACTAGGAAGCCTAGTCCGAACTACCTAGTCCGTGCCGCGTGTAGCCGCGCGGCACAGGGTTCGAACGAGCCGGGACTTAAAAATGGCGGCGCTTGGCTTATGCAAATGAAGCCCGGGAAATTCAAATCCCGGGCTTCATTTGCAAGTGCGGATGACTACATTACCCCCACTAGTTCGAACTAGCGGGGTAGTGTAGACATACCCTCAGTCATGGACAGGGAATTCATTGTTCTATAAAACACGGTTCTTGCTCTCCATCCCGCTGTTCCCTCTCCCTTACTTTCCCCATCCTCCACCCTTCCTCCTCCCTCCCAGAGCCAAAGAGGCTTCCAATGGAAGCCCTGCGCCAAGCAGCACCATTTGAAACCCTGCAGGTGCTGCTGTCTGCCAGTGATGTACGGCTCTGTCAGGTTAGCAGATCATTAACCTTTATAAAAGTGGCTTTTGAGGGTGCTGGCCTTGCTTAGGGACAGACACAAACTCCATGTGTTAGCCCCATGCCTGAAATTACCCAGCCAACCCGCACCAATCCCACGATGCAGACATTTCTGCCCTGTTCCTTAGAGAATTGGTGTTTTTTGTCTGTTAGTTGTCGCCGGAGTGGGGTGCATCTGAAGCTCCCGAGTTCCCCGGAGAATCTGTTTCGGAAGATGAGTATAAAAAGAAGCTGAGGTGAGCACTTTTGGATTTGAACTGACCGCTTTCAGGAGCATCCCATGTGAACTGACAGCGATTCTTGGGTCCGAGGCCTCTCCTGAAGGATTCACACATTCTGGCTGTGCCTTCGGGACTCTCTGAGGAAAGCCCAATTTCTTTGCTGCTAAATCCCTCCCCCAGAGCCCTCCCATGCTCTGCAGACTTCCAACCTACAAGAGGTTTTAAAGATTTGCATTCTAAGTCTCTACTGGTTTAGGTTTGGGAAAACACCATGTGATCTAAACCAGCTGGGGAAGATGCATTTTTTTGCCCAGCCTGCTTGTTCCTTTTTGGCTGAGTAGTTGCCTGGTTCGGCTGTTTGATTTCCCAGAAGTCCCAAGGCTCCGCCATCCCTTCTGGTATAACGAGTTCTGCCCTGGGGGTGCTCTGCACCTAATACACTATGTAGAGAAGGCTGAAGCGTAGTCTAAAATGGCCAGCCAGCACTGTGTGAAATATTTACCTCATGGCCCCGGCACAGCAGCCACTACCCCGTGTGGGAAGTGTGCTGCAGCTCCTCATTCTTGGTGAATCTGTAACCCACACAACTAGGCTATATCTACACTGTTCGCTTCTTACACAAGAACGTCTTGTGCAAGGGTTCTTGTGTAAGAAGTCTTGCACAAGAAAACGTCCACAGTGCCATGTGCGAGGTATGCTTTTGCCCAAGAGCATCCATGGCAGTGTGGATGCTCTCTTGCACAAGAAAGCTCTGATGGCCATTTTAGCCATAGGCAGGGGCAGCCCGTGCCTATAGGCAAGCTAGGCAGCCACCTAGGGTGCCAAGTTACATGGGGCACCAAATTCCAAACCCTGCCCCTTCCATTTCCCCTTCCCCTTCCGGTGCCTTACCTGGAGCACGGCTTCCCTGCGGCCAGGAGGGGGGTAAGTCCTGGGAGAGGCAGCACACGGGGAGGTTTCCCTGCACCGCAGGGCGGTCGGCCCCCTGCCATGGGGGGGGGGGTCGGCCCTGAGAGAGGAGGTGCGTGGGGGTTTCCCCACGCCGCGGAAGTGGGGTCAGCCCCGGGGGAGGCAGGCACCGGCTTTCCCTGCACTGCGGGAGGCGGGGTCACCCCTGGAGAGGGAAATGCCGGCTTCCCTCTGGGGGGGGAATCCTGGGAGGAGGCGGGTGCAGGGGATTCTCTCCCCCCACTAGCACCTGGTTCCCTCTCCTCTCCTCCCACTCCCCTCTCTCCAGCCACAGAACTCCATCCCCAGCCCCCCTCTCCCCAGCGATGTGGTAGTAATGGCAGTTAAAGCAGGATAGCATAATGGACTATTTTGGATTTGTAATAATAAAAATTATAATTAACATCTGTAATGCATTTTTATTTGAAACCGTACTGAAATATCATCTAGCTGTCGTGTACAAATCTATTCTGAAAATTTTGTGTCTCTATTTTAATCTGATCTCAGAAACATTGGTTGGATAGACAGACCGAATAATTATGTCTGTTTAAATAAATATGCTTAAGGGCGGGCAGTGTGGACGCTCTGCAGATTCTTGCACAAGAACAGCTGTACTTGTGCAAGAAGCCCCGAGTATAGACATAGCACTAGTATGGGCCACAGTCCCATGAAGTAGCACTTAGACCACTTACAGCAAGAGATAAGGGAGCACTACAGCCGAAGCCGAGAGCCAGCTGGCTTTATAGCTCTTATAACTGCCACCAGGTGGATTTGAACCTGGGACCTTTAAAGCTTCGTATAGGAGTTTCTACAGCTTGAGCAATAAAGCCAGCTGGTTCTTGGCTTAGGCTATAGCCCTCCCTTATTCTTATCTCTTGCTCTAAGTGGCACTGCATAGGATCATGACCCATACTAGGGGTGTGGGTTACAAATCCTCGTCACTCAGTTAACAGGGAGAAAAGCAGCCAAAGCCTTATTCTGATTGTTACATCCCTAAGGCTGTGCACTGACCCATGTAGTCTCCTCTCTGAGGGCCTGATCTGGGGGGAGCAAGGGGAGACAGACATGCTGGGCCTTTGGAGAAGGTGCAAAGAGGCCCAGCTCCACACCCCAGAAAGGCGGGGCTAGCCTCCCACAGGCAGCCTTCACTGCTGCCGGGAGCACACTCCACAGGGCTCTGGCGGTGATTTAAAGGGTGGCCAGGAGTCCCAGGCTGTTTTAAATCACCAGGCCCTGGTCCACTGCCCCATTTGCCCCCCCCCTTCCCGTTGGTGAACCTGGCCTGGTTCTCTGAGGTGCCGAACACCCTCAGTTCCGCTTAACTTTAGGGCCAGGTGAGGATGCTGGCACACTGCCGCTGGGCCCTGGATAAACTGAACCTGCCCCTCTGGGAAATCAGCCCGTCCCGAACAACGTTTGTCTGTTTGCTGTCCCTCTAGCCTCTTTCCATTTGCCCCCCCCCTTCCCGTTGGTGAACCTGGCCTGGTTCTCTGAGGTGCCGAACACCCTCAGTTCCGCTTAACTTTAGGGCCAGGTGAGGATGCTGGCACACTGCCGCTGGGCCCTGGATAAACTGAACCTGCCCCTCTGGGAAATCAGCCCGTCCCGAACAACGTTTGTCTGTTTGCTGTCCCTCTAGCCTCTTTATTCAGGATCTGCTGAACCACTTCCTCCAGACCCATCACCTCCAGTACACAGAAAGCTGCCCCGATGTCCCAGACACTGTTGCCAGCCAGAAATCAACTATCTTCCGAAACGTCAGTGCCATTGCAACCTTTCATTCCAAGTAGGTATACCTGGCTGCAGGCCAGGGAAATCAATGCCTGGTCATGTTAGCGGCAGAATCGCGGTGGTTATCTGGCACACCCCGGACAGCAGGAAATGCTCGGCCGGAAGGGAGAATTTTCGGAAGCATGCGCAAAACCACAGGATGGGATTCAGAAAGCAGAATTGTTGTTACATTCCCAGAGTCTTAAAACGCCTCATGTTCTGCTGAGCATTTCTTGCCCTGGTGGGCAATGTTCCCCCTCATATTTTCAATCCATGTGAAGATTTTTTTCCCATCTATGTGTGGAATACATTTTATATGCACTGAAGCATGTATGAATGTGCACCACCACTATAAACTAAAAACCTAGCTCTGGGCACACTGCTAATCAGCAGGGGAGCATTTGAATCGCTCCTCACAAGTGCACAGCTTACAGGGAACGCTGCTGCTGGGTGAATGTCATTGAAGAAATATAAAATTTCTATAAAATATACAGCCCCTTCTTTCAAAGGATGGGAGCTCAAGACTCCGACACTGTTAAGGACTGAGAGAGCCCATCTAGTTCCAACACCTGCTTTGAATGAACCAGCTGGTTTCACTAAGGTCCAAATTGTGACACATTGTTTTACCATCAGAGGGGGCAAAAATAATGCTTCTAATGCACTTACATTCTGGCTGCCCTGCAAAAGCCATGCACGGCTGTCAGCACGGATTTCTCCTCCCAGCAGCCTCAACAATCTGAGCAGAAGCGGGGGGATAAAATGTGCCAGCCACAGCCATGGTCTCCAAGCACCATCCCAGAATGTCTCCACATGGCTGAAGGCCTGTGGAGTGTGACGGCCATCACTTTACAGGCAGCTGGCCATCACTTTATAGGCAGTTGAGGTATTTTACCCAACCGTTGTACCCCAAACATTGGCATTGTTTCAGCACCAGGCCAAAGCCACCCTTTTTACCCGTGCTTTTATTGGTGTTTAGGTGTGTGTGTGTATGTATGTGTGTCCCTCGTCTTGAGGTATTTTAGCAGGTTTTATATTCCGCACACACACACACACACACTTTAGGGTATTGTATTTTACTTTATATACATTTATTTATTATGTTTTAAAAAACATTGTAAGCCGCCTCAAATTATTTTAAATAGGGAGGCGGGGTAAAAATATTTTAAATAAATAAATAAAATATTCAGAGGAGGAAGCTACTGCTTCAGAGCCTGTATTGAGACCAACCACTAAATGTTCAACCCCTCACACAATGCTGCAATCAAGTGTAGCTAAGCTACTTAGCCATCAAACCCAGACATGGCCCTCTCCCTTGAGGAGAAATTTACCATAGAAGTGCACCAAAGAGTTTCCCTTCATCCTGGCCAAATTCTTCTCTTACTACAGGGAGAGGAGAGAACCCTCCCACACACACACACACGCTCATGGTGCGGAGCTATGGTGAGGTTCCCACCATGCCTATGTTCTCTTTTCACTGTGCCAGCTTCTTCTCAGCTCTCCCTCTTTTTTTCCACCTCCACAGCAACTTCTTCCCAGAGCTGCAGAAATGCGACACTGACGACGACGTGGCCATGTGCTTCCTTAAGAACGAGGAGGCCTTTGATAAGTACATCCAGTACCTGGTGGGACGGGTACAGGCCGAGTCTGTCGTTCTCAGCAAAGCCATTCAGGAGTTCTACAAGGTAGTGTGTTAACCAAAGTCCATACCACACCTTGGGAGTTAAGCCTTTATAACCCCACAGCTTTATGAAATGCAAAGCCCATGGTGGCTCATATCCCTAAATAGCTAGAGCAGGGATGGGTAAAATATGGCCCGGGGGCCAAATCTGGCCCGCCAAGCCACCGGCTCCAGCCTGCGGACCACCCTGCCAGGACCCCCAGATACGCAGCTGCCGCAGTTTAAAACACAGTCCGTGCGGCTCTCTGCTCTGCAGGGAGGGGGGAGGCTTTGTGTGATTCCCTGCCCCCAGCCCAATCCTCAGCTCCTATTGGCTGAAAACAACCAGTCAATAGGAACTGATCCCAGCCAATCTCTCAGCCCCAATTGGCTGGAAACAAACAGCCAACAGGAAGTGAGAGATTGGCTGGGGGATGGGAGCAATGCAAGCCTCTTCCTCCCTCCTTCACCCAAACTCCCTCTTAGACCTCACACCGTCTCCTGCACCCCAGTCCGTTACCCTGTGCACCCTTCTGCACCCAATCTCCATCCTAGACCCCCCGCATCTCTTCCACAGAAAAGTGCAGCCCTTGACCACTTTCCAAAACCTTGGAGTGGTTCCCTAGCAAAAATTATTGTCCACCCCTCAGCTAGAGATTCCATTTGGAGATGCAAATGTTATATTATACGGTGATTGTTAAATCTTGTAGGGGAGCGGCAGTCGTCCCTGTGCTCTGGGTTGGAGGGAGACCACACCACCTCACTACAGCACTAGGATCACTCTTTAGTGCCAGGGGAACCAGCAGACCAGATGTTAGCATCCTGGCTGGACTAAAGGCAAGGGATCCTCAGCCCACAGACAGGGGTGGGGCAAACAAGCAATTTATGGTCTCTGGCCCTCTGGTAAAGCAGAGCAGCACATTTTTGTCTTAGCAGATGGCAGGGAGGTGCAGAGTTTTTGCCCTGTGGTGGGGAGGCTGTCACCCCTGGGGTGGGGTTGGCATTAGGCAGAACCAGGCCCACCCTATTGCACTGGGTCCCAGCTCAGGGTCCTAACAATGGCAGAGTGTTAGGGGATCCAGCCTCAACATGCTGACCTGGATTCAAGCAACAACCCAACTAGAACATAGTCTAGTGTCCTTGGTCTGCTTCTTTCTACCCCTGCACTCAGTGCCTCAGCTCAATGGGTGTCCTCAGCTCTTTGGGGCAGAAAGGCAGCAGCAGTCCCAGCAACTCCCCTCTGGATACAGGCTCCTTTGGGTGCAGGGTGTCTCTTGGCTCGGCAGTGAAGTCAGTAGCCTGGAGAGAGCAGGATTCATCTGTCTCCCTCGCTATTTTGATTCCTACTGAGCTGGAGATACTGCCACCTTTTATACTTCCTGTCCCACCATCTGGAGGTGCTGCCTTTTATACTTCCTGTCCCACCTTCCTACTTCCTGTACCACCTTTTATACTTCCTGTCCCACCTTCCTACTTCCTGTACCACCTTTTATACTTCCTGTCCCACCTTCCTACTTCCTGTCCCACCTTTTATACTTCCTGTCCAACCTTCCTACTTCCTGTCCCAAATTTTATACTTCCTGTCCCACCTTCCTACTTACTGTCCCATCATCTGGAGGTGCTGCCTTTTATACTTCCTGTCCCACCTTTCCACTTCCTGCTGGAGGGGTGAGGCTGGTCTGGCTCTGCCCATCTGGTTCCTCTCGTTCTAGATCAGAGGGAAGCCACACGCCTCACTACAGATACGTAGGAAATGATTATAAACAAAAGTTTAGAAATCGTCACAGTGGGATGAAGGTCTCATTAGTGGCAACAAAATTCAGAGGGATGTTACCATCAGGAGCCATAGCTACATGCGAACACACAGTCAAGTTGAATCAAACTGGGGAACTTGCATTTGAAAATCCACAAGCTCATTTAGATCTTAGTCTGCTCTCGTCAGAGGCCAACCAATACTGGGAGACTCAATCAATACACAGGGTGTTTGCAATAATAACTAACAGAATCTAAGGAGAGCTTTGGCACCTTTAAAAACCTATACCGCAAGTGAACTTGAGGGTGCAATTTGGTCTCATTAATGCTGGTCCTACACTCAGTAAGTAATCCCTTTTTGTTATACTAGTATTTATCTCTGTCCCTGCCTCTGTGACTTCCACTCCATGCATCTGAGGAAGTGGGTTTTACCCACAAAAGCGGGTGCCCTAATCAAACTGTTAGTCTCCAAGGGGCCACAAGACTCCTCGTTGTTTTTTCAGATGTCTCCTGTAAGTGGGGGGGGAAAGGGCTGCTCCTTCCAATTATACTATGCGAATTTCCAAGCAGCACGCCACGTGTTGTTATTAATTACAGCATTAAGAGGCAAGTTAGAAGAGAAAGTCACTTTCCTCCCCATGGCTTACCAAGCAGACACCCAGCAGGCAAGGGATGGCCAGAAAGCAGAGAGTGATGAGGCTCAACAGTTTTGGAAGGGACAAAGGATTGTGGGATTTATTCTTCCTTATTGTGCTCACACTTATTTGCTGGGACAACGAAGGTATCTAGCCCTGTGTTGTGTGATCTTCTCATTTTCAGCCATAATTTGCATCACACCCTTTCTTTGTTGTTGTGTATTTGTCACCAGAGATATACAGAGGAAACATTGGCCAGTGGAGATCCTTCTCAGCCACCCATACCTCCTCTGCAGCACTATTTAGAGAGACCAATAAACAGGATCCAACAGTATCAAATCATAATCAAGGTAATGAGCTTCCAGGATACATATTCTTCGCACTCGGGTGTCAGGGGTTTCCCTTCCATTTCGGGGAGCCTTTGGGGAAAAGGGAGCTGACCCTTCTCTCAGTTTCACTGACTTCACACCATATAACCAGAGCCCCATGAATCCATGGCTATCCACTTTATGTCCACAGGCATCCGCAGAGGTGGATGCGGGTATCCGTGGGGCATTTTTTCAGGTATGGATGCAGACACAAATGTTGCCTCTAGAACCCTGCAAATCCACGGCTATCCGCTTTATATCTGCAGGTATCCACATCCGCGGATATGGATGAAGATATCCGGCTATCCGCTTTATATCCGCAGGTATCCACATCAGCAGATGTGAATGAAGATATCCACAACTCATGTTTGCAGATACACATTTTGTATCCACGCAGCGCTCCATGTACAGCCCCCTTGAAATTATTCTTGAGCAAGGGAAATCAGGGTCAGGACCAAGATTTGTGCACTTGGGATAGTTTTGTAAACTTAAATAGTTTGAGAGGTTCACAGAGTCTTAGCCGCCAGAGGGTTCACCCAGCACTAGCTGACTACTCCAAAAATGGTAACACCCAGGAAGAATGTAAATTTGCCCCATGTGGCGATAAATCTGTTATAAAAGCAACTCGTTTTCAATGCACACGTCATTGTCTAGTCAACAGATACAGCTTCCTTCCCCTTTTTTCAGGCACAATTCAAAGGAAGAGAAGTCCAATAGTGTTTCTGCTACCTCCCCACCTACTGCAAATCTTGGTTGTTTCAAGGGCTAAGCCCAAAGCAAATCAATCATTTGTGAAGGTTCTGAAACATTTCACTATCTGAGGATTTAATTATTATTTATACATATTTGTATATATCATGATATATACACATGCACACATGCACGCATATACATATGGTAATTATTATATACTACATAAAACTGGGCAGCTGTGTCTAGACTGGCAAGTTTTTCCACAAAATCAGATGATTTTGCAGAAAAACTTGCCAGCTGTCTACATTGGCCGCTTGAATTTCCGGAAAAGCACTAACAATCTCATGTAAAATCATCAGTGCTTTTCTGGAAATACTATGCTGCTCCCGTTCGGGCAAAAGTCTTTTTCCGAAAGACTTTTGCGCAAAAGGGCCAGTGTAGACAGCATAGTACTATTTTCCGCAAAAAAGCCCCGATCGCGAAAATGGCGATCGGGGCTTTTTTGCAGAAAACCGCATCTAGATTGGCCATGGACACTTTTCCGCAAAAAGTGCTTTTGCGGAAAAGCATCCTGCCAATCTAGACGTACTTTTCCAAAAATGCCTTTAACGGAAAACTTTTCCGTTAAAAGCATTTCCGGAAAATCATGCCAGTGTAGACGTAGCTGTCATGTTTAGTCTTAAGAAAAGAAAACTGAAAGGGAACCTGATAACAGACTTCAAATATATTAAGGGCTGTTATAAAGAAGATAGTGATCAGTCATTCTCTATGTTCACTGAGGATAGGACAAGCAGTACTGGGCTTAAATGGAAGCAAGTGAGATTTCTGTAAGACTTTAGGGAAAACTTTCTATTTTCCAGTCCAGCTCATCTGATGACGTGGGTTTTGCCCACAAAAGCTCATGATTCTCTATATTTTTGTTAGTCTTTAAAGTGCCACAAGACTGCTCCTTGTTTTTAAAGTTACAGACTAACATGGGTACCCCCGGAGATGATGGAATAGGTGATGACAGTTAGTGGAATCTCTGTCATTGAAGGTTTTTAAGAACAGGTTTGGCAGGCATCTGTTAGGGATGGACTTGGTTTGCTTGGTCCTATCTCAACCTGAGGGGAGGAACTAGATGACTTCTGAGCTTCCTTCCAGCCTGACATTTTTGTAATTCTATTTTAGTGCTTCTTCTATGTTTCCATGTTCCAGCCAGGACCAGAAACATAGATGACTTCTGAGCTTCCTTCCAGCCCGACATTTTTATAATTCTCTTTTAGTGCTTCTTCTATGCTTCCATGTTCCAGCCAGGACCAGAAACGGAGTGTCAAAATCCCCCTTCTTGTGGTATTTTCAGTCCAAGTGGAAAGAAATAATATCAGGAGCCTCTCAAATTGCAGAATTTTTACAAATAGGGATTTTACTTAAGAGATGTAAATCATTTGGAGAAGATTCAAACAAACTTTTGAATTACGCACACTTGTCTGACCCTGTGCACCAGAAGTTTAAAAGATTCCCCTCACGTTTGTTCATCACCCCTGAAAAGTGCAGTTGACATTGGCAGTGGTTTGCTGAATATCCTTCCCTTCTTGTTTTCACTGGTTTGACAGTTGCATTTCCATCCCCTGAATTGTTTGACTTGTCTTGGTGCCTCAGTACCATCATGATAATTACATTGGAAACAGGCTGATAAATATGTGGATCTCGTCCATGTTCATCCATCCCCTGAATTGTTTGACTTGTCTCGGTGCCTCAGTACCATCATGATAATTATATTAGAAACAAAACTGATAAATAGGTGGATCTCGTCCATGTTCGGGTTTCAGTCAGCCAGACAAGTATCTCTCTTGTGGGTTTCACTTCAGCCTTGTCGCCTCTCAGGCCAAGCTAGACCCAGAAGGTTGGCGTAAGGTACGCAACTCCAGCAACGTTAATAACGCAGCTGGAGCTGACGTATTTTAAGCCGAGCTTGGCACTGTCTCCACTGTGTGAGCTCAACAGGAACAAACGGACCTGTTGACTTCCCTTACTCCTTGCAAACTGAGGAATACCAGTACTAACCAGGAGCACTCTCAGCATTTGATTGAGTGGATCTTTACTAGACCTGCTAAATCGAATGCCAGAAGATTGATCTCTGGAATGGTAAGTATAAATGTAGCCTTAGTAATAACCCAGCACACTGACAAGGGGTAGGGGCAAAGAGGCAGCAAAGGGGGCCCGGTGATTCAAAAGGTTTGGCTCCTGGCTGTCTGTGCTTCTACTTCAGCACGGGCAGCAGTCACAGCCCCAGCTAGTGCTAAGGGCTGGAGAAGGGGTGCACAGCACAATCCAGGTGGTGCTAAAGGGCTGGCAGAGGGATGCTATCCTCCAGCCATGCCCCTGCTACCAAAGACCCTATTCCTTCTGGGGGCACAGAGCTGTTCCCTCCACCACCTCACCCAGGGGCCAGGCAATTCTGTCGGTGATAACAAATTGAAGGGCAGCACAGCGTGGTTAATCAGAGAGGCCATGCATGTGGGATGAAAAGAACCCACTCTCAAAAGCGGGGCAAAGGGGTCCGCGCACGGAGATCTGGATTACAGACTCCTTCAAAGGCTGCCTGTGGAGACTCTTGGAAATGTCCTGTCACAACGGCTTTATTCACTTGCAGGAATTAATCCGAAACAAAGCAAGAAACAGCCAAAACTGTGCGCTGCTGGAGCAGGCCTATGCCGTTGTGTCAGCCCTCACCCAGCGTGCAGAAAACAACCTCCATATCTCCCTCATTGAGAACTATCCAGGGACCCTGGAAATTCTAGGAGAACCCATCCGACAGGTAATTAGAACCTCAGAATGAGGACAAAGCGTGCTTAATGCTCTTCCTACCTTTGATGTGGTCCATATTCTTCAGCAGCTTCTTTATAAACCATCATTTGAAACAGAAAATTAGGTAAACGCCTACTAAAATGCATTAATTCTGTGCTGTTACAAGGTTCAGAAAAGGGTAACAAAATGATGAGGGGTTTGGAATGACTGCCATATAAGGAGAGATGAATAAGACTGGGACTTTTCAGTTGAGAAAAGAGGAGACTAAGGGGGGATAGGATAGAGGTCTACATAATCATGACAGCTATGGAAAAAGTGAATAAGGAAAAGTTATTTATTTGTTTCCATAATATAAGAACTAGGGGTCACCAAATGAAATGAATAGGCAGCAGGTTTAAAACAAACAAAAGGAAGTTTTTCTTCACGTAACACACAGTCAATCTGTGGAACTCCTTGCCAGAGGATGTTGTGAAGATCAGGACTTTAACAGGGTTTTTAAAAGAACTAGATATGGAGGTTAGGCCCATCAATACTTATTAGTCAGGATGTGTAGGAATGCTGTCCGTAGCCTCTGTTTGTCAGAGGCTGGGAATGGGTGACGGGAGGAAGGGGGGGGGGAATCTCGGGAGGATTCCCTGTTCTATTCACTCCCTCTGGGGCATCTGGCATTGGCAACTGTGGGCAGACAGGACCCTGGGCTAGATGGGCCTTTGGTCTGACCCAGTCTGGCCATTCTTATGTTCTTATGTAATAAATTGCAGAATGTGACAGAAATGGACCTCCTGGATTGATTAAGCTTGGGAGGCTCTGAATAATTGTTATGCCCCTCCCTGTGGGTAACATGAGTGTTTTGTCTTCACAACTCACCTTCCAAACAGCAGGAAATCCTGCTTGGGGCATATTTACTAACCCATTTCCTGTTCCTGTGGACTGATTTCGGTGTCTGCAGTTATCAAAACTATACAGACCCAATCCTGATCTCATCGAAGTTGATGAGACTTATCCAATGACTCCTAGGGAATTAAGAGTTTTCACTGCATATATTTTCCCAAGTAACACACCTCTGTTGTTAAAGCTCAGTTTTAAAATAACATTTCCATTCAGTTCAACATGGGTAACGTTGGGTGTGCTCCATGTGAAATCAGATTTGTTTCTCACTAGCTTAGTCCTCACAATCCAAATACTTCCAGAAACTCTGTCTGTGTCTTTACCTGTCGCTTTAGAAACGGATGGATGGATGAATTTCAAGATACCACATAGGTCACAATTTGAAATTAGATTTAACTTTTAATGGCGTTAGCAGTGGTGAAAGATGCCTGGCTGGCAATCCTGGAGACTTACGTTCTGTATTTTTATCGGTCGCCAAAGGAAAGATTTAAAAGATAACGTTGGGACTGAAACTCTGGTCTTTACCTGTCGCTTTAGAAACGGATGGATGGATGAATTTCAAGATACCACATAGGTCACAATTTGAAATTAGATTTAACTTTTAATGGCGTTGGCAGTGGTGAAAGATGCCTGGCTGGCAATCCTGGAGACTTACATCCTGTATTTTTATCAGTCGGCAAAGGAAAGATTTAAAAGATAATGTTGGGACTGAAACTCTGTACCCAGTTAGGAGCAGCTTGTTCTGAGCCCATCCCATGTAATGGTAACAATCACTTGCTGTGTTGCAGTGGAAGCCAAGACGGATGGGGTGGAGGATGGAACACAGACCAGTTGCTGTTCAGTAGCTGGAAAATGATGGCGAGACACCATGAAAATAATTCAGCGATTGTCATTTCTACTCGCTGCTTCCTGTTTTCTTTCCCAGGGTCACTTCATAGTGTGGGAAGGCGCTCCGGGAGCCAGAATGGCCTGGAAAGGTCACAACCGGCACGTTTTCCTCTTCAAGAACTACATTCTGATCTGCAAACCCAAGCGAGACACCAAGACAGACACCTACAGCTACATCTTCAAGAACATGATGAAGGTGGGACCTTTGCACTTACCTCCCCAGCAGTTCCATTTCACTCTTCTTCCAATTTACTTCTCTCTCAGTAAGCAGCATCTGGCCATCAGAAAACATGACATTTCACTCATCTTTTCAATTGAGTCTTTTGTTTTCAAAATCCCCTACACCAGGGCTGGGCAAAATATGGCCCGGAGGCCGGATCTGGCCCACCAAGCCACCAGCTCCTGCCCACAGCCCACCCTGCCGGGACTCTCAGGCATGCAGCTGTTTAAAGCGCAGTCCATGCAGCTCTCTGCTCTGCAGGCGGGGGAGACTTTGTGTGATCTCTCCACCCCCAGCCCAACCCTCAGCTCCTATTGGCTGGAGCTGGAAACAAACAGCCAATAGGAGCTGAGAGATTGGCTGGGGGAGGAGGGCAAGACAAGCCTCTTCTCCCTCCTGGAGCGGAGAACCACATGGAGAGAGCAGCCTGCAGTTTCAAGCAGTCTGGGGCTGCAGCAGGCAGGGAATCCAGCCTGCCTTGGGGGTATTGCAGGGCTGCTGGCCAGGAGACACTTATGTAAGTGCCTCCCAGCCAGAGCCTGCCTCTGGTGAGAGATTGGCTGGGGGAGGAGGGCAAGACAAGCCTCTTCTCCCTCCTGGAGCGGAGAACCACATGGAGAGAGCAGCCTGCAGTTTCAAGCAGTCTGGGGCTGCAGCAGGCAGGGAATCCAGCCTGCCTTGGGGGTATTGCAGGGCTGCTGGCCAGGAGACACTTATGTAAGTGCCTCCCAGCCAGAGCCTGCCTCTGGCACCTCTACCCCTGCTACACTGCAACTCCCTCCCCCAGGTCACCATCCAAACCCTCTGCACCCCCTTGTCCCAAGTCACAACCCCCTCTTTTCACCCAAACACCATCTCCTGCACCCCCGTTCCTTACCCCATGCACCCTTCTGCACCCAACCTCCATCCTAGACCCCACATCTCCTCCATAGAAAAGTGCAGCCCTTGACCACTTTCCAAAATCTCGGAGTGCCCCCCCCCACCAAAAGTGATTTCCCATCCCCTGCCCTATACTATAGATAGAACCTGCATCATCCCTGAAATCCATTGGCTAACTCCAAGGTAAGGTAGAATATGTGTTGCAAATCACCAGCGAGCAAACTCACAGACTTTCATGGTGCAGGAGTGAGGGTATAGCTAAAAAGTTATATTCAGGCAATGAATTTGGACCAGGGTGGTCTCTGTAGCATTTTCAAGGGTAAATTGGAATCATTTCCATGTCAGTCTCATGCTGTATTTACAGTCACTGCCCTCTACCCCCCCAAAAAGGGGGGTTCCATAGTTTAAAAACAATCATGTGAGAACATAAAAGCTGCCATACTGGGTCAGACCAGTGATCTGCCTAGCTCAGTATCTTGTCTCTGACCATGGCTAGTAGCAGAGCTTCAGGGAGAGTTTACCAAACATGACAGTTTTGGAGTGATCCACCCTGTCTACCTCTCCCAGCTTTTACCAGAGGTTTAGGGTCACCCTGTGCATGGGGTTACAGCCCTGCCATCTTAGCGAATAGCCTTTGATGGATTTATCCTCCATGAACTTAGCTAGCTCTTTTTGGAACCCAGCTGTACTTTTGTCCATCACAACATTCCATGGCAATTAGTGTCACGGGTTAATTGTGCATATAATTAAGCACTTAATAGTGGAGTCTCAGAGCACAACTCCTGCTGCAAGTCACTGGGTGTTGAGTGTCTCACTCCCCTAGGCCCATTTAAAAATCCCCATCTCCGTCTTATTTAGCAATCCGATGCAGGGTCTGTGTTTCCTAATGGGATTGTCTTGATCTCCATAGAGGAACTGCTATGCAGCTTCTCTTCCTGTAGCTACTGCCTGTGTTGTTTCTCACTGTCCATCCTCCTCGATCATTAAGATCTCAGCTTTGCTTTTCTGTTGAGACTGGCTGGCGCTCATGGGGAATAGTCTTTTCACACTACGTCATTATTTTTCCTGGAGTGAGATAACAATTCGCAGAGATGAGACTTTAAGCTGCCTGTTTGCTATGTACAATTTGGTAGACACTCAAAGCTCTACACAGTGAGCCTAACTCTCATTTACCCAGAGGCCACTTTACACTGCTCAGGCAGGGTAAAGGGCCTTCAAGGGGGTGTCAATTACATTTACACTCACTTTAATGCCCTTTTGATGTAAATGAGAAGCACCCCCAGTGTGTTCTAGATGACAGCTCTGCATTGGCAATGGAGGATTAGCTACAACTTACCCCACTTATGTTTCTATGGAAGTGGTTCCGATTCACAAAGATGGGATTCAGGGCTGAACTTTCCTAAATGTTGAAGCTTTAGTGGGAGCCAGGGTTTTGGTTCAGACTCTGTCAGGGCTATTCCCCACTCTGACACTCTAAGTGCAGAAGATGGGGCCTGCAAGAGATCTTAAAATACCTTGCCTCTAGAGGCTGTTTACAAAAACTCCCCAGAGTCACAGATTCCTGGCCCTGGGAGATAGGCTGCCACCATCAAGTGAATTAAATAAAACTCTGAAAACCAGGAAGAAACACTTGACCTTCTTCCCAAGGGGTACCCCAAGCTCTTTTGCCACAAGAGAGCTTGAAAAAAAGAAACAAAAAAACACAGCAAACAAACTGTCTCTCTGATAGCTGACCTCTCAGGCTAGGCAGGCACCCACAGACCTCCTGTTACCTTCCCGGACACAAGAATCAAATCATTGCCTTAAAAAAGGTGATTTTATTAACAAAAGAAAAAGTTACACTTGATAACGCCTACTTGGTTGCTAGGTGTTACAGAGCAACTGAGGAAAGAGCAGAGTAAGACACGGAGAAAAAAATGGTGTCTCTGGGCACAGCTTAGGTATAGTGAATGGAGGGAGGGAAGCACATGGATTTCATACAGAGAAGTTTAACCAAACAGCAAAAAAAAAAAAGAAAAAGAACCTGATAGCCACTAAATATACATTTTCCCTCTACTCACAATCTGTACTGATCCATACTCCAAGGCACAGTCCATTCCCATGCCCAATTTTTCTTGTAGGCGTGGTCATTCTGTTTGGTTTTTTTTATTTTTCCTCCAGCTGCTATCTTAGAAATCACACAAAGGAACAGGAGCCAGGTCTCTATATTCAATTTCAGTTTCAACAGTCTCTACCACTGGCCTTTTTGGCTTTCTGCCAACATCCCCTAGCTACCTGAGTTTAACTCTTTAGTCATTGGGTGCTGGCCAGCACTTCCCCATCCATCACAGACTCACGTCGGATTTCTGTCAGAAGACGTTGCATTGACTTTCTCACTGTCCTCTCTGTTTCCCAGCTGACCCACATAGATGTGAATGACATGGTGGAAGGAGATGAGCGGGCATTTGAGATCTGGCATGAGCGAGAAGACTCCGTCCGCAAGTACCTACTTCAAGCTCGTACGGTCATCATCAAGAACTCCTGGGTGAAGGAAATCTGTGGTATCCAGCAACGTATCAGCCTCCCCGTGTGGAGTGAGTATCCTCAGGGAGATTCACTGACACGCTGCTAGAACAAAACGATGCCTCTCCAGTTCAGAAGTGCAAGCGAGGAATGGTTTTGCTGCTAAGTTTTAGCTCTGCATGGAAGAGAGAGCCACCAGAGCCCGGCATAAGGCAGCTTATATCATTCTAATTATGTCAATGCCTATAATACAGCCTTCCTCCCTTCCTACTACAACATAATAATCCCACCTCCATGAGAGGCATAAGGGTTATGTGTGTGTAGTGAGGGCAACACAGTGTCTACATAGGACACAAAATCAGATATTTTTTCAATGGGCGCAAAATCAAGACCAAAGCCTACTGATGTTGGCATAGAGAGTACAATTATGAAGTATGCAGATGATACCAAGCTGGGAGGGGTTGCAAGTGCTTTGGAGGATAGAGTCATAATTCAAACTGATCTGGACAAACTGGAGAAACGGTCTGAGGTAAACAGGATGAAGTTTAATATCAGCTTGGTATCATCTACAAACTTTTATACAGTGAGGCTTGCAAATCCTTTTTTACAACCTCTGGATGTGCATGTTAAAATATGGAATGTATTTGAACAGGGTGCAGTGCGGAATAAGCTAGTGTGGAAACAAGCAGGTACAGTACTTAGCATGTTCTGAAAAACTGGCTCCTTTAAGGGGATCCCACATTCGGGAACCAAAAATGGAGTTGCCCAGAACCACTAGTCAGCTTTGAAAGTCTGCCAACACTATGGAGTAAATCAGAACCAGGATAAAACTCAGCATTCCTGTCAGGGAGCCCACCGCCTCGCCGGGCCCCTCGGCAAAGTGTGTGTGGGGAAGTCGGCTCTGCACTCCCAGAAGGGGCGGGGCCACAGGCAGAAGGGGTGGAGCCAGAGGCAGCCAACCCTGAGCGCAACCCAGACCATGGTGCACGCCCCAACCCAGCCCTTAGAGTTCCCGGGAACGTGCCACTCTGGCGGTGATTTAAAGGGCCCACGGCTCTGATTGCCACTGTCACGGCAGTAGAGGTAACAACAGGCAGGAGCCCTGGGCCCTGGCGGGGTCCAGGGGCAATTGCCTGTTTTGCCCCTCCTGTCTGCGGGCCTGATTCGTGTCCCCCAGCTCTAAAATCCATCGCCGACGCTTGAAGATCCCTGTCCACAAACAGTTCGTAACACCATGAAGTCAGTAGAATCTGTTGGGGGTTAATAAAATCTCCATTTCAGAATTTTCACAAAACTCAGCCACCCTGCATGTCCTTGTCCTTCATCGCATTAGTCGTTCTTCTGACAGGGCTGCAAAACATGCCTGATAAATCTTTTCTTTTTTTTAGTTCCTCCAGATTTTCAGGAAGAACTGGCTGACTGTACAGTGGAGCTCGGTGAAACTGTCAAATTGGCTTGTAAAGTAACAGGCACTCCTAAGCCAGTCGTCTCTTGGTTTAAAGGTACAGCCAACATCATCCTTCCATGAGAGATGTACTCCTGGTGTACATTGCACTCACAGTGTTCCATACAAAGTTGTTGGTAGCTGATAATTTAACATGAATCACACATGTTATCCCAGCAATATTATAATTACAGTTTTTACTTTCAGTGAAAACATTTTTGCTGAATTTTTACACCTGTGTAATATGACAGTTTCTAGGGGCAATTGCTCAGGGCTAATTGCTCAGGAACAGGGCTACTTTCAGTCCAAAACTGAGGATTCTCCTTTATAAGGCACCAAACCAGTCACAAAGAACACTTCAGCTGACACTCTGGCCAGTAAGAAGTCACAGGAATAACCCCCTAGATACTCCAGTTTTACCTGTGCCACAACCTGTGCCTCACCTTACACAGGTGAGAGGTTATGAAAACCAATCACACCAATTTCTGATCCCAAAGAACCAGCTACATTCCCAGGTCAATTTATACCTCGGATTTTACCCAAAAGAGCTCTCTGGGCCAATCCTTTAGAATCTAAAATCTAAAGGTTTCTTAGTAAAAGAAAGAAATAAAAGGTTGAAAGTAGAACTGCTAAAGGAATCAAATTACATACGCCTGTCACAACGTTCCTGGTGCAGGTTCTTAGTAGAGATGGAATACATTGCTATCTTCAAAGTCTCTGCGGTACATCCTTTGTTAGGCTAGGTCATCGGTCCTTCTGGGCCCAGTTCATAGCAAAGCTGCTTCTGAAGGGATGAGCTGGAGTGAAGACAAAAGGGAGTGTAACCCCCTTTTTCCTCCCCGGGTTACTTGAAGAGCTGCAGCTGTAGTGGAGATTCTCTGAACGTAGGGTGTATGTGGGTCCAAGCTATGCAGCAGCTCTGGGTCACTGGGTTGGCCTTTTTGCCTCTCTTTGAACCCAGAGTTAGTCTGTATCTCTGAGGTCTGTCCCAGGTAGCATTTCCCCAAAGATGCCCAGTTACTCACAGTCTCCTGCTGTTGCTGGATGCAGAGTAGCTTCTAGACACAAGTACAGCCAAAGGGCCTCCCGTCAGAAGCAACCTGCTAGATCCCAGTTCCAAAGGCTCGCTGTCCCAGTTGGTAACTGCCACATAACAGCTCCCGCACTGGATCAAACTCCTCCACAGCAGCCTAGCTCCCTTTCTGCTCCAAAAACAGAGGGAGGAGTCCACAGACTGCTGAGTCACACACATGGAAAGACTCAGATCTCCCATACAAAATTCACTGCCTTCCTGTTTTTCCCAAGGGCTCATGGGAACTGTAGTCTGTGAGGCTGGATTGCAGCACACAGGGTCTTCCCAGAAAATAAGCAGAGGCACCTCTTGGACTGCAGGAGGAACTTCTGTCTCTGGCCCTTTTTATAACCTTGCCCGTGTGGAGGGAATCCCATTGTTCTCTCTGTGGGAAGGTACCTCCCAACATGGAGTATGTCACATGAGCAAGTCGCTTCTCCATGTCCTTTTGGGCAAACAGCTGTGGCATACCTGCTTGACTGCAAAATTCCTCAAATGTGGACTGGCAACACTTAAGGTCCGTTGTCGGAGAAGCCCTGCTATTCGCTTGAGTATCTGTCCTTCCACAATAGCCGGGCAAGACCTCTTGATCTCTCTCAGAAGCAAACTCTCAAATACCGATCCATCGCCGATACTCATAACTTCTCAGACAAAAATCAGACAGGCAGCTGAGCAGTGTAAACAGACTCCGCAAAGCCTCAGCTTTCAACACACTCCTCACTCAGCCCCCCCTTGGTACCACATTTGGGGCAGACACACCGCAGGGGGTGCAACCGTGCGCTGCGTGTGCCCATCAAAAATCCGATAACGTCATAGCCTGATACAAAGCGGTTTCACGTGCCTCTCATTGATTTCAGTCTTGTCCTTGTAGAGCACGTCGTCCTCAGCTAGATCCTCCGCCACACAAGACAGACTTCAGCAACTCTGACCTCACGCAACGTGCAGCTATTGTTAGGCCATTACACCTAAGCCCCCGACCTTTATGCCTTTCCCTTCCTGGGTGGCCAGGGCCCAAAGTGGAAGAAAAGGGGACAGTGCCCAAACAGGCTGTAAACTGATACTAAGCTCCTGCAGGGTTTAATGCGGGATCTTTCTTTCATTTTTAAGATGGCAAGCCAGTGGAGATGGATCCCCACCACATTGTAATAGAAGATCCTGATGGTTCCTGCACGTTGATCCTGGACAATATGACGAATGTTGACTCAGGACAATACATGTGCTTTGCCACCAGTCCGGCTGGTAATGCCAGTACACTAGGAAAGATCCTTGTTCAAGGTAAAGTCTTGTACAGAGACATTGTTCTAAAGAGCTACTCCCCACTTACCATTGTGTAATATACTCATTGCATGTATTAAAACACACAGGCAGGTCCCGTTGCCTGGCGTGTCCTCTAGGGACCACCCTCTGAAGGCTCAGGTAGAGTGAATCAGAAAGTCAGCTCTTTTTCTTGGTTGCACTCTGCTCAGACAGGCCACAGACCGGCGCCGGCATTCTCGACTGCTGTCATGTTTATTATTTTTGTAAAGCCAACAGACCCAAGTCATCAGCTGGCAGGGTTGAACCTGCAAACTTAGGGCCTAAAGCCATGAGCCTCTACCGCATGAGCTAAAAGTCACCTGCCTCGCAGCAGAGGCTCTTCTCAGTGATCTCAGGGCCTCTGGGTTACACGGTTCTTCTTCTTTCCTAGTGCCGCCGAGGTTTGTGAACAAGGTTAGAAATGCTTATTATGTTGAGAACGAAGATGCTCAGTTTACCTGCACCATCGAAGGAGCACCTTACCCTCAGATCAGGTCAGTTCTTGAAGTTCCTTGTCAGAAACCCAATGGGGGTGGGGTTTCCTTGTGCATTTTATTGTAGTAAACGTGTGGGAGAGGAAAAACCCTGCAAATAATCATTGATATGGGCTTCTATGGGATCTAATCTGTGCTGTACTTTTGGGACTCCCTGAACTGTCCTCGCTCACCAAGCATCCACTTCACCAACAGCTTTTCTGGACAGTCCATCATGACATTCTCCGCGGCATCCTTTGGAGACTGGCCCTCCTGCTCTGTGCATTGACTTGAGGTGTTTTGTGGGAACCATGCAAACCTGTTTTCTGTGGGGGAGGAGTGTGCTCCCCCCCACAGTGTTTCACATCCCTGAAAATGCAGAACATGAGGCTTAACTGGCACCTGAACTTGTATCTCCTGCCTGCCCGTGCATTGCTCTGCCCCCTGGTTTGACGGGAGAGTGATTCACAGATGTGTTACATCTTGCCTTAGCCTTGCTATTTTCCATGCACAGGTGGTATAAAGATGGTGCCTTGCTGACAGACAGTAATAAATACCAGACTTTCAGTGAGCCACGGAGTGGCGTGTTAGTCCTGGTGATCAAAAATGCTTCCCGGGAGGACTTGGGACACTACGAGTGTGAAGTAAGTTGATTTCAGCAGCTGTTCTTTGACCCACCATAATGTAAGAATTTCTTCTTGCTCAGGACAGATTTTCTGACTGTGTTATTACATCTGAAGCATTACTCAGAACATCAAGGAGCTCATAGGAAAGGAGAGATAAATGCAAACTGTATAATTTAGATCGAGATCTTGAATACACCAAAGTTCAGGGATACTCAGATCTGAAATTTTGGTTCATCAAATAATACAGGTTGGACCTCTCCCATCCAGAACTCTTTGGTCCAGAAACATCCATCATCCAGAATGATGTTAGTTAGCAAGAAGAAGTCCACTTTTCATGAGTGTGGCCAAGTTTCCTGCTGTCCCATAAAGTTTGTTTATAGCAACCAAAGTCCTGGCTCTCAGTGTTCTATGCTGTTATTTAGCTCTAATTTACACCTAAATGTCTTCTAAGAGCCCAGTCAGCAGAGGAAGTGTTGGTAATGCTGCTAGATAATATTGACTTCCTGTTATCCAAAGAATTCTCTCATTTGGAACTGGTCAACTCCCAAGGATGCTGGACTAGAGAGGTTCAACCTGCATAAAAATGAGGCAGTTTTGCAATCAGAGTCAGAGCTGAGTTTCAATTCCAAATCTACCCCAGGCAATGTTCAGATGTTACAATGTGGAGTTTTGCTTTGGGCCCATAGCTAATTAAAAAGATCCCCTCCGTTCCAGACGAAGAAAGCACACGCTTGGGCTTCAGCCAAAAGTGGCTACCTTTGAAATTCTCTTTTCTTTGAAAATAGCAGAAGGAAGTAACTAAGAGAATCAAATTATATAAGTTGGGGAGGGGGTGAAGGGCAGTTTCAATTACTTGATAAATTCAATTACTTCATAAATGATGTGGAGAAAGGGGTAAACAGTGAGGTGGCAAAATTTGCAGATGATACTAAACTGCTCAAATTAAGACCAAATCAGACTGTGAGGAGTTTCAAAAGTATCTCACGGAAGTAGGTAACTGGGCAACAAAATGACAGATGAATTTTAATGCTGATAAATGCAAAGTAATGCACATTGGAAAACATAATCCCAACTATATGTACAAAATGATGGGGACAAATTTAGCTATTACCATTCAAGAGAGAAATCTTGGAGTCATTGTGGATAGTTCTCTGAAAACATCCACACCATGTGCAACAGCAGTCAAAAAACCATACTTAATGTTGAGAATAATTACAAAAGAGAGGATTAGACAACGAATATCGTATTGCCTCTGTATAAATCCATGGTTTGCCCACATCTTGAATACCGTGTACAGATGTGGTCGCCGCATCTCAAAAAAGATAATCTTGGTATTGGAAAAAGTTCAGAAAAGGTCAACAAAAATGGTGAGGGATTTGGAACGGGTCCCATATGAGGAGAAATTAATAAAACTGGGACTTTTCATCTTTAAAAGAGGAGACGAAGGGGGAATATGATAGAGGTCTATACACTCATGATTGGTATAGTGAAAGTAAAAGTTATTTACTTGGTCCCATAACACAAGAAAGAGGGGTCACCAAGTGAAATTAATAGGTAGCAGGTTTTTCTTCTCACAACACACAGTCAGCCTGTGGAACTCCTTGCCAGAGGATGTTGTGAAGATCAGGACTTTAACAGGGTTTGAAAAAGAAGTAGATAAATTCATGGAGGTTAAGTCCATCGATGGCTATTGGGTTCTGTTTGTCAGAAGCATGGAATGGATGACAGAGGAGGGATCACCTGGTGATTGCCTGTTCTGTTCACTCCTTCTGGGGCACCTAGCATTGGCCACTGTTGGCGGATAGGACGCTGGGCTAGATGGACCTTTGGTCTGACCCAGTGTGGCTGTTCTTATGAAAAAAAAAGAAACTGTGCTTCATTTTTTGTCATAAGCCAGTAGAAAATCCTTAGTAGTAAAGAACTAACGTAAATTGCATTGAATTGGGATGTGCACACTCAAGAAATCTGCCTCATGAGTTTATTTCCCAAGGGCTGCAGGATCCTGCTAACTTCTCTTGAAGTTACTTGAATCTTGCCCCTCGGAGTCAGCTGAGCCGTTTGTGGAGTCCTGTGTGGCACGTGTGGCCGTGGCTGCAGGAAGGTCAAGTGACCATATGAAATGATGCCCAATTTTACTGAGTGTTGCTTGATTCTTGCTAGCTGGTGAACAGATTAGGCTCAGCACGGAGTGGAGGAGACCTTTGCCAGCAGAGTGCCGTATTACTGGCCCAGGAGAAGAGAGGAGACCAAGCCATCACCATCGAAGGTATGTCCTTTGGCCAGCTCTGTAAGTACACCCTGGAAGGACCCCACAGCATCTCCTGGAGAGTTGAATATATTTGCCATCTTGTCGTACAGTCTTATTCATGTTGTCTGCCGGTGTATGTGTAGCTGTGTGTTCGTCTGTGCGTGTGTGCGTATACCGCAGATCAGGGCATACCCATCGTGCACTTCGTTGATTTCCAGAGCACTGAAATCAAGGGAGTAGAGTATCCTACGTTGCGTACAGAATACGTTACATCGAAAAGGAGGCGCAAGTAACTGCTAGTGGCAGTTAGGTAGCATAGCAGTGCCTGTCCATGCTCCCTGCTGCCCCTACTGGCCAAAATACAGCATAGCTCTGCCTGTAATGCCGAAGAGCCACTAACGCAGGGGTGGGTGATCATTTTTAAAAGGGGGCCACTTCATAAATTTCTGAAGTGGCTCCGGGATGCCCCAGAAGGGGCGGGGCCTCTGGCAGAAGGGGCGGGGCCTCTGGCAGAAGGGGCGGGGCCAGAAGACTTCTCATGCTCCTCCACCCACAGGCCCTGATTAGGCTGGGGGTGGAGGAGTGCATGAAGTCTTCTCCCTCCCTTGCTCCCAGCACCTAGAGAGCCTTTTTAAAACAGCTGGTGGTTCCCTCCAGGTGCTGCAGCGGTAGGAGACCTCACACGCTCCCCCTGCCCCCCGGCCAGTCAGAGCAGTCTCTCACCCCTGTCCCTGCCCTGCCATGGGCGTGCAGCATCTAGAGAGAATTTCCAGCTGTTTTAAAACAGTGGATGGTTCCCTCTGATGCTGCGTGACTCTTGTGGAGGGAGGAAACTTCACTCACTCTTGTCCCCAGGTCTCGATTGGCCTGGGGAGGGGGGCGTGCCAGGGTGGCTGCAGGCCAGATCTGCCGGCCTGGTGGGCTGGATCCAGCCCACAGAAGCCCCTTTGCCCACCTCTGTCCTCGGGGTTGCCACTAATTCTGGTGAATTTTTGATTTTTTGCATTTGAATGAGCAATGGTGTTTCGGTGTAGAATCAGAATGGGGTCTGAGCTGCACGGAGGAAAGTCAATAACTAAAGCACAGAGGCCTCCTCAAATGACACTTGAGAGTACGCGGCATCATCAAAGCAATGCACCTGGGGATCAGCCGTGTTTCCAAGCACATATGTGAAGAGGTATTAATTTACCTGTTAGCAAGTGCTGCATTGGCATTAAACATGCTACATTCATGGACTCCATTCCTTTCATGGTGAATGGGTTGGGTTTGTTCTATTTAACCTAAGTGGCAAGGCCTCCAGTGAGGGGATCGTTCTCTTCAGTGCCAAGGCAACACCGAATGGCAGAGGTTTGCGAATAGCTACGGAATGTACTTTTCCCCTTCATGCAATTGTGCACGTCCAAATTCCACTCCAGGTCTTTGTGTGTCCAGTGCACTGTAGTTGGAGACTTTTGCCAGCAGCACCCTCACCTTCTGTGCACAGCTAAGGGCATAGAAGAGCCCTGAGCAAGGCCTCTCTCTCTGTTCCTTCTGTGGGGAGAGATGTAGTTTCCTCTGTCTCTTTAGCTGGTCTCTAGAGAGAGATCCCTCCACATGGCCTAAGATAGTTTTGCCTAGTTTAGCTTCTGACACAGTTCTCTGATTTGCAGAGTTTAGTATAGAGATGTCCCCAGGACTCAAACAACATGTCCTGCGCAGGTGTAATGCCCACTGGTGGAACCAAACCTGGGCCCTCTGGAGCATGAGCCGCTACAGCCTGAGCTACAAGCCAGCTGGCTCCCAGCTGAGACCTGAGAGCAAACTCATTCTCTCTGTGTAAGTGGTCTACGTACCACTCCATGGGGCAGTCCCCCACCCCCACCAGGAGTGTGGGTTGCACAGGCACAGGTGCTGGAACTAGGCAGGTGGGGGAGTGCTGCTGCACCCCATGGTTTGAAGGGTTCCAGATGGGTTCAGTGGCTCTCAGCACCCCCACTTTACAAATCGTACCAGCACCCTGGATACACGGGTGTCACCCTTGTTACCCATCAGCAGAGGGGCGTGTGCAGGGATAAAACTTGGACCACTTTTGGAGGGGCAGGCTCTGTGCCCCTGCTGCAGACTCCGGGCCGGTGGAGCTGTCAGCTCCCGCTGGGGCTAAAAGAACTTGTTCTCCCCACTGGGGCCCCAGGGCCAAAGGGTTTCCTTGCCCCTGCTTGTCCCCACCCCACCTCACCCCTGGCTGGATAAGCCACAAAAGCTGTCTCATCTGCTGAGTGGCTGTGATGGGATAGGACTCACCACAGTGGTGCCTCCTGCTGGCCTGTCTGGGAATTAACTCATTTCCTCAGCAAGGCGCCCTCTTCTGCCTGCGTCTCGTCCATTGTCCATGCTGCTGTCTCCATGGTCTGCAGTGTCCTCTCCACTCCATTCTCTCCTCTTTGGGGGGCGGGTACTTGCAGCTCTCATCTCGCCCCATGCCACGGTGGCAGGCTGCCATCCCAAGTCTAGACCCTCCCCCGGGGGCAAGCTTCAGTCCTCTCCTTGGCCAGCCTCTCCAGCGGCTAGTGGGGCAAAGAGTGGGAACCCAGGCCCACCCACTACTCTGGGCCCTGGCTTAGGGCCCCTCGAGCAGCAGCCCCTCACTGCCCTCCTCCACTCATTCCCCCTCACTGCTTTTCCCCCGGCCAGTTCCCCACTCAGCCCTGGTGGCAAGGCTGCAGTCTAGCGTGGTCAGCCAGGGCTCCTGCTGCTTTGTCCACAACTGCTCTGTCCTGGGTGCTGCTCCCTCCAACAGTCCTTCTCCCTTGCTAGTCAGGGAGAGAGTTACCTTTGCTCTGCTGAGCTGCCCTTTATACCAGGGATGCCCCAACAAGCTGCCTTCTGATTGGCTCTCTATAAACCCATTCCTGGTTGGTTATGGCTCTGCATAGGCTCCCTCCCGCTACTTCAGGAGTTAGACAGACAGAAGTGCAGAGAAACGGAGAGGGAGGTGACAGCCATACTCAGAACACATGAGAGTAGGGCCGCTTGCATTGCCTGGTGGTACTGCTGGCAAAAGTCTCTTGCGCAAAAGCCTCATGTGCAAAAATGGTTGTTCATTAATTATGCAAATGAAGTGCTGCAATATTCCATGCCAAGCTTCATTTGCATAAGCTTTTCTACAAGAAGGCTACAGTGTAGACGTAACCTTGGTGTTAATGTTGGGAGTCAGAAACCTTAGGCTATCCAGATTATCGTCTGGCTGATAATTAATTTAGCCTGTTTGGAATCATTGTAGGTTTCTAATGGCCTAGAAAAGTTGGAACGTCTTCATGATTTCCTCTAAACTTCTGAATCCGCAGAGAAACACAGATAATCTCATACATACGCGCATAATAACTTTTCTGTGCTATATGTTCACTTCCTTTTGACCTTCTATTATGGCGAGTAAATCATTGAGAATTTCAGGGGAGAACTTTATTAAGATCCTCTATACCATTACATAGTTGGCTGGAGAGGTGCTGTTTCCGTAATATGCTCAGCTCAGGGAGCGAATGGGTTGAACCCAGAATGCAGATAAAAGTGAACAAAAACCCACCAGAGCGCTATAGCTTGGTGCATTTAACTTGTCAGAGGCTAAACCCACAATGTATTAACATTGAAAGCAAGATAGAGGAAGATGTTATAATAAAAAGTAAATTGCAAACGGCGTTAAAAGTGTTTAGTTTATAGAGATGTGAGCATTTCAATTCACCTTGGAATTACTCAGGTTGGTATATCGTACGTTTGTAGAGCGCACATGAAAGAAATTGTTTTGTGGCATTGATTAAAGAAATCTGGCATGGCAATTGCCTCAGCGCACCAGACGTGCTGCAAAATAAAGCACTGTGTTGTGTCTGACACTGGAGAGATGCCAGTTGCGGCTAGTGGTTACTGGTTCACTCTGGCATTGTCGAACAAAATAGGGCTCCAATCCAGCTCCAGTGAGCTAGAGAGAGAAAGGTCGGGGCCTTCCAGAGCTTAATGTTAAAACAAGCTGAAGTCATCCCTGTGGTAACTTCAATGGAGTTGTACCAAAGATGAATTTGGCCTAATACACGTACCTGTCGAAAGAATTATTGGTTATATAACATCTAATGATCTACCTTAGTAAATGTTCTGGGAAGCAGCTTTGCTGGCAAAGAACAGACAGACAGACAGACTTGATGAGAACCCTTGTTTTCCATCCTTACAATTCTGTTTATTTGCGGGACTGTGATTGTTTGTGACTTCACCAGGAAGACAGTCTATCCCGGGCTATGTCTACACTGGCACGTTCTCACGCAAAAACTCTTTTGCGGAAGAGTTCTTGTGCAAAAACTCTTCCAGAAGAGAGCGTCTACATTGGCATGTGCTTTTGCGCAAGAGATGTGTTTTTGCGCAACAGCATCCATGCCAGTGTAGACACTCTCTTGCGCAGGAAAGCTCTGATGGCCATTTTAACCATCGGGCTTTCTTGCGCAAGAAATTCATGTTGCCTGTCTGCACTGGCCTCTTGCGCAAGAACAGGTGCGCAAAAGGGCTTATTCCTGAGTGGGAGCATCAGAGTTCTGGTGCAAGAAGCCCTGATTTAATAAATTAGAATGTCAGTTTACTTGCGCAAGAACACGTGGCCAGTGTAGACAGGCAACAAGTTTTTGTGCAAGAGCAGCTGCTTTGGCGCAAGATCGCGCTAGTGTAGACACAGCCCCAGTGTATTATATTTGAGAACAAGCATTGGATCTGGTCCACTTCCACCCCCCAGCACAGTTCCTCAGAGTTTCACCTATTTAATTGTTGTTTTCAGTTGGCTGTATGGTGTGATGGTAGCCAGTTCTTCCTGTGACTCATATTGCCATTGTTTTTTTTTCCTTGCCTTTCTGTATTGTTACCTCTTGTTCACTGAGCCAAACACTGTTTAATACTCACAGCATTGAATAATAAATCCTATTGAACACAGTTAGCCTGCGGTTTGTAAGTTTAAATTCTGCCCTCTGTGAGCACTTGGCCGCTGCATTGGAGTCAACTGAGAACTGATTTACAAACCAAAATCCAAATTCAGGAAGAATTTTGGGACTTTCACACAGTTGATTGCAGGGATAAACAGAGAGATCCTTTTTTATCTGAGTTAAGCTGACTATCTGCTTTGCAACCCAGCTCTTCACCGCTTGGTTTAGATGTCGCAATCTTTACAGACAAGTGCTGATTCACCATGGCTCCAGCTTTAACTTTTAACATCATACTACAGCAAATTAGTCAACCACGGTTCACTAACTTGCAATCGACTTGCTTTTAAAAACAAAACTTCAGCATTTTTGAAAGTTCTGGAATCCCCATCATCTCTGACCGGCATGGTACAGACTAGGCGATGACAAATGTAGAGTTTTTTATGGGCAGGAATAAACATAAGCGCAAGTGAAAATAAGCAAGAGTTTGTAGAAGAGTGACTATGGGGGTGGAAGGTATTTAACGCAAGGAAATAGCAATCTGGATTCCTGGGTTCCATTCCTAGCTCTGCTACTGGCTCCATGCAAAGCCTTTGGCAAGATACTTAATCACTGTGGCCCAGTTTATCTGGTAATAAGTATCTCACGGGATAATAGGCAAGATACTTAATCACTGTGGCCCAGTTTACCTGGTAATGAGTGTCTCACGGGATAATGTGAAATGTTCTGGGATCCCCGAAAGCAAGATTGCTGTAGAGAAGTACAAAGTATTATTAGATCTGTTTTTCCTACAGTCTTGCAGAGCAGCTAGAGAATATGAGTTTGATCCCTAATAGTTCCTTTTTTAGGGTGAAGATCAGGATATTACCCATGTGTGTATTTTTCTCTTATTACTAATCTGCTGTTATTGTTTATGTTTATTTTTAGTTTAGGGCCAGCAAGGTGCTTACCACTGTATTATGCACAAGAACAGCTTTAAGTGCATCTCAGTCACAGCAAACACAAAGTACATATTGAACCTCTCTAGTCCGGGCACCCTTGGGACCTGAAACAGAGAATTACCTGGACCACGGAATGTCGATATTGTCTAGCAGCATTGTCAGCACTTCCACTTCTGATTGGGCTCTTAGAAGCCCCGTAGAGGTAAATTAGAGCTAAAGAACAGCTCAGAACACTGAGCCAGGCCTGATGTCTGTAAACAAACTTTACGAGACTGAGGGAAACTTAGCAACACCCGTGGTAAATGGATATCTGGCTGACTAAAATCATGCTGGACGGCGGATGTTGCCCATCTAGAAGGTGTCGGACTAGAGAGGTTCAACCTATATTATTTCGAAGTAAAGGCTTCTAAAACTTCTCCAAAAGTAATTTGTTTTGTTTACAGTAGAATATCTGTATTTGATACAAAGCAATTTAGAAAATTCTGTTCTGTCCATGAATTATCTGCAATGTAATTAGATTCAACAGTTGATGGTATATGTGTTTAAAAACCCCTACCGTTAGCCTGGCGTATTAATTGGTAACGTTAGCACTAAGGATCGGGGGGGGATTCGTCTTCCTCGATAAACATGGTCAGCACATACTGTGCAATGGGAGCATTGTGGTTTTCTGAGGGAGACAAAGTAGATTGTAATAAAAAATCATGTTGGAAATCATCTTTCGCACATCTCAAAGTTCTGAGGGTTCTGCTTCCTCCGGACCCGTTCTTGTAATCATTTCATAGTGTGTGCGCAGTTGATTTAACATATTAACAAACATGTAGGGTCACTGGCTGAACCTAATGCTTAAAGCTTATATGGCTCCCCTGCTTTGCCAAGCTGTTTTTTCTAAAACGCTACAAAAAAGTTGAAATGATAAATCCTACCAATAACATCCATGATGCTGAAACTGATACAGGAATGTTCCCGAATTCGCTCATCCAACTTTCATGTGGTTCTGTCCTTCATATGGGATAGCTTCAAACCTGTCATACCTTGGGAAGTATATATACACTGCCAGGCACGAAAACAAGGTTTTAACTTAAATATGTAGTGACCATACACACCATTTCATTTGTGATGGACACCCTTGGGCCCAGTCCCGCAGAACTTTTGTAGACAGAATCTGCATTGACATCAGTTGGAAGTTATGCATGCAGAGCAACTGGGATAGCATATTTACGCTTGGCAGTTTGAAGTTAAAGCTTTGGTAGTGTATTTATTTGGGTTTAATTATGGTGCAGGTCAATAAAATACCAGCTAATAATGACATATATTAATTGATATTTCCTAACTGAACATTTGATACAACTCTTTTCTGTTCGACAAGTTTTGCCTTCTCATAAATATATTTTAAACAATAATCTAGTGTTCAATATATAATTACTGCTAAAAGAACCTCATAAAATAGCTTTATATATAAACGTTTGACAATATTTTCTTTCTGTACTTAACAGACTCTGGGTCCAAACTGGATCTAATTTAAGCCAGCGTAAATATAGCCTAATTCCATTGACTTTAATGAAAAAAATCTAGATGTAATTGAGAGCAGAGTTTACCCCTCTGTGTTTGCCCAACAGAAACTGGAAGACATTGCAAAACATCCACCTGCATTTTTTAGGCATTTGCAAAACTAGCTCTTCTCAGCAGAGAAAACATGGAACACTAGACCCAATGAGATATCAACATCAACTTTGGCACAAAACTCATGAGTCTCAAAGGGATTTCCATTCCTAGTACAATGGCAGGATAGGGACCTGGGAAGTTTAAGTGAAAGTTAAATTAAATTTCAACTATTTTGCCTTATAATGGAAATATAATTTGAAGTTTTTAGTCTGTAGCTATGTTGGTGACCATTTAAAGAATCGGGATTTGCCAGAAGATGCGTTAGAGATTAGATTTCTCCCCACCCCCTGTATTTTGAACAGGAATGACCTGCGATATCTCAGATATTGCTGTGTAAATATAATTTGTAAATTATAAATTGGTGCAATTGGCTCTAGGTAATTATAATTTTTGGACGGCAACCACTGTTACTGTACAAACAATGATCTGGAACAATAAAGTGGTTTTTAATTATACAAACTAAATAACGATATTACTAGAGCTTATTTGTTATATGTGCTGGTTGCTGGAAACATAATTCAAAGGGAAAAGTAGCTTTTTAGAAGCTCACTAACTTGTCACTGAACAAAGAGGGGAGCACGGGGTCTTGTTTTGCGAAATCCTGCTTATAGTGAGCAGTCCTTCGTGCATTCAGTACAGTCTGGTTCCTACAGTGTCATGATGCTGTACCACCAGCTGGGTAGAGAAAATGATGAAAATCTCCCTTAGCTTTTGCCACGTTATACCTCTTTGTGTTTCCTTTTCTATTAAGCTTTGACTTACAAATCTTTTCAGAGGGGGAGCCGTGTTAGTTTGTAACTTTAAAAGCAACACGTGGTCCTGTGGCACCTTAAAGATGAACCAAAATATATAGGAAAAATTTAAAAAACAACAAATAGTCTAGTCACGCCTTAAAAACTATTTGTTGTTTTTTAAGTTTTTCCTGTTACAGACTAACTTGGCTCCCCCTCTGAAATTTCAAAATATATAGACTCGTGAGCTTTCATGGGTAAAACCCACTTCCTCAGACGAACTGAACAGTTTTACCCATGGAAGCTCATGAGTCTATATATTTTGATTCCTCTCCAAGATATAACAGGGCCATTCATTGTTTTTAAAAATCTTTGCTTAATCTGAGAGCTTTACATAGTTGCCGCTAAAGCAATAATTTATATTATGGGGCCATGGATAGAAAGCTATATATGAGTGGTTGCAGAAGGCACAGTGTAGGTATATGGATGGACTCTCATTTTGGGGAGAGAGGCTTTTTGTGCCAATTTTCTATCGAGATTTTTTGTTCATTGTGATCAGGTTGGTAGGAAAGGCTGAAAACTAACTGGTTATGTAGTCTGGCAAACTCCTTTTCCAGAAACATGTCGATCATAGATTAAACGCTT